TTGGCGCGAGAACGGCGGCGAGGAAGGCACTGGACAGACCTTGGACGAGTATATCGAGGACTTGATTGAACAGGGCAAGCAGGACGGCTACTTCATAGGACACGACAACTCATACACGAACGAAACATACAAAGCCATCGAAAACCTTACGGAGAAACAGCGCGAGAAGTTTGACGATGTGGTCGGAGTAGAGTACGAGGACTGGGAAACGTTCGAGTGTGTCGGCTGCGGCTCTTACAGCAGCCCAAGCGACTTCAACACATCCAACTGGAAGTGCATCATCGACAGCGAGCTTGTGAAAGAGGTAAGGAACACCTTGAAACACAAGGAGATGCTTCATTTAAGGTAAGAATTATATGCAATTAAGTGTCGTTATGTTTAATGTGTTTACGGGAAACACAAACCGTTTAAGGAACGACTTGCTATAAATTCTCTGAAAACAGCATCGACAATTGTCTAGCTGAACCCTGTACCTCATTTCAAGGTTTTTAACTTCGTCATAGGCTTTAATCCAACTACTACATCTTTCAAACAGCTCCTCCTTCCATCGGTTCACTGTTTGAGAGACAGCAACGCTGTCGTAGGCTGGGTAAAACCATCCCTTTGAAAATTTCTTATAAGCTCGTCTGGCAATTTCAATGCTGGAAGCCACCATGTCTGGAGTTGTCTCATCACCGTACAGGCAGTTCCCTATAAAAGAGCTGTAAGCGGGATTAACCTCCAACAGCTCAATACCAACGGTATTGCAGAGCAGTTTCAGGTTTGGAACTGTAATACTCCTCCTCCACTCGTTGTTGCACATCCTGTTATTGTCCCTACCCCTATGGTGGTTGTGAGAAGGCATATTCAAATCCTCCACCGCTATCTTGGAACACTTGTAATGACTCGCCAAGCGCACTATCTTATGGTTAATCTCGATAAGCTCGTGCTTCGCCTTGTTCTTTCCACGTCTCTGCAACAACGACAGGTCATAAACCTCCTTATGCGTGACCTTAAACTCGTCTTTTTCATCGAATTCAAGGATGGAAAGTCCAATGTAGTTCGGGTTCAAGTCGATACCTAAAATTCTGTTTGAGAACAGTCCTGTTTGCTTCTTTCTAGAGACCAAACCCTCGTCAAACGTGATGTAGATGTTCCTATTCTTATATTTGACGGTCACGGGCATTGTACTGTTTTCCATCGCAGCCTGAACCAAAAGCAACTCTTCCCTTACCTTTCTCTTCAACTTCGGTAAAACGAGAGTAATATGTTCTTTCTTACTCCGTTTGTAAACGACTTTGTTGTTTTCAACGTCAAACTTGAAATATCTGTTTCCTTTTCGCAATCTTTCGCCTTCGGCTGTGAAACCCCTGTTTCTGGAAGCCTTATACTCCTCTTTAGTAATAAGAGACTTGCATCTCCTTATCATATCTCCGAAAACAACCCTTTTCTCTCCCTCACGCTTATAGATACCCTCCGCTTCTTGGCTGGCACAGTTGAGTAGATGAGAACCGAGCTTGAACGTTGAGACGAGCTTTCGATAAACATCGTTCTTCTTTGCAACGCCGTCTTGAAAACGGTTGAAAGCAAATCGAACAGCACTACTGTAAACCCTCTCATCGTTCTCCAAAGAGGAGTAGTCGGAAGCGTCTATCGGTAGCTTGATTGTTTTCATTTTGTTTGAAATATAAGGGTTTTCCCTTGCCTTTATTTAGGATACATTTTTACAGAACTCATATAAAAATACATGTGCTTAAGTATAACCGTTTACGCCTTTGTATCGTTTTCCTCTGGCGTTTCATGGACAAGACGCAAGATTTTGTCCAGAATGTCGTTCACCTCGTCTGTTCCGCAATCCCTGTCAAACGAGATGGACTGTGTAAGAACCGTGCCATTGCAATATACGTTTATCACTCCAAACGGTTTTGCATTCTTCCTAATAGCGTTCTGCACATACAGCTTGCCGTTATTCCAGTTTCCATCTTCATCAGTAGGACCACCGTATTCCATTAAAACGTATTCATCCTTGCCCATACACAAATTCTACCACAGTTCTAAAAAGAAAACCCCCGCCGCACTTTCGCGGCAGGGGTTCCACCTATGAATAACACAACAGAAATTTATCACACCTCCTTCACAATACAAATGTCTTTGTAGAGGTTTTCGTCAATGAGTGAGGACTTCCCCTTTTTCCTGACTACGGACGCGATACAGTTCATTATAATAGCGTAATCACCGTCATCTTCCCAGATAAGGCGGTTCGTATCCTCACCGAGCGCGGTCGTACCCGTTTTCTTCATCATGAGTTCAACGGTGCTGTATCCAAGGTACTTCATGGCGCGCACCAGACGGCGCAGCCTGAGATTGTCGAAATACACACCGTCCAGCTTGACATATCCCGTGGAATTACCCTTGTTGGAGAATGTGGAAAGGTACTTCTTGACATCAATGGACACCGTGGCGGTCGTCCTCATCCCTTTCGCTTCGGACATGTTCTCCTCGATGGCGTTCCACATGAAATTCAAGGACTTGCTGTCGCGCTCGCGCGACTTGCCCTCGATGTAGTCAGCCTCTATCTCGCCGACCTTCGCTTCCATCGAGCCGCGCACGATTGACAACGCCATAGAACCGTCAGTGGCCACCACGCGGGCTGCATAAACGTCAGGGAGTCCCTTATACATGAAAAACTGTCCACCCGCAGCGGAACCGTTTTCCGTAAAAGAGGTCAAAGCCTTCAAATCACCAGCAGAAACAAAGCTCTCTATCTTCATGTCAGGAGTATTGTACCACATTTTCCGACCCGTGTCAACCCCTTTTTGAAAAAAATTTCGTTCATACCTATATTTTTCCAACATAAATATCGTCCAAGGTATGAACGATATTGGTGTTTATTGTCTTACGGTTCGTGGAACTAAAAGAGAAGCGATGCAGAACAAGCAAGCCATAGACAACAACATACATGTTTAGTTTGTGTTTGGCAAACAGTTTGACTTGGAAACCATAAAAAAGGACGGTGGTAACCTTTCAGACCCAAGGTGGGGATGTTTTTCAATGTTTTGCAACAATCCGGTTATATTTTCAGGGCATATAGCTGCGCCTACGGACACAGGGACATATTACGGCGGTTTATCGCTTCGGAACATACCCACGCCCTTGTTTTTGAAGACGACATGTTATACCCTCCCAACATAATGCAAGTTGCGGAGAGATTAACCCTTGATTATCCTGAACAGCATTATTTTTAACCTCAACAGCGAATCGTTCTATAAAAAAATAAGGGTGCCAACGGTTCAAGACATAAACAGCATGCAAGTGATATATCAGGACTAGGCATCTGGTACAGGAATGTATCTTGTCGATAGGTTCTTTGCACAATATGCACTTGAGAACATGCTTAATCCATTACGCCTTCCTTCCGATGTTGTCGTTTGGAGCGAATGGAGTCACATTTAGAAGATAGCTGTGGTGTATGGAACTGGAGTCGCAACGAGTGAAGAATACCTCAACTCTATAATAGGGTATGGAACACAAGGCAAAGCCTCTTGCTAAACATTGTTGTCGCCGTTTTCCACCAACAAAGGAAAAGAACACTAAATACGCATAACGATGAAAAAGAGGAATTACGAAAAGTTCGACAAGGTTTACGAAGCATACTACAGCAAATACGCCGCTGGCATCTTCTCTCCGAACGATGTTGTGGAGATTGACGTTAAGGCATTGAAAAAGCACGAGTCATACAAGTCTCTCCAGCCGCAGTTGCAAGCCAAGCTGTTGACTATGGCAGAGTCGCAGGAAAAGGGTGATGCAATCATCTGCGTGGTAGCTATCGACATCAACCCGTTCATTCACGACACATACGCACCGTCCACGATTTCACTCGGCTACTCTATGGGTGGTGGACGCTACTCGGACATCATTGCAATCCCTGGTTCCCTCTGCGACTGTCTTTCACTCGTGGAGGACCCGATTGGAAACCAAGTGTCAACCATTCCCGACTCGAACAAGGTATACTACCCAGCCAAGACGGAACCCAAGGAGGTTGACCTGAAAGAGCTGGAGAAGCACCGCATGGACGGGGCGGCGGCAACCATATTCGACCCCGTGTCGATGGACATTCCAAAACTCACCAAGGAGAAAAAGGGAAAGAAATGAAACAGAACGCGGCTACCTTGAAACGGTAGCCGTTTCGGTTTGCCGATAACATCTAAATATCCCCGAACACCATGACTATACTTGTTGCAACATTCACATACAAGGAAGACGAAGAACTTGCAAGATACAATACTACAGCAATACAAAACCTTAGAAAACTTTATCCACAGCATAGGATTATTCACTACTTGATTGACGATGCCAACGAACCTTTTGAGTAGCCGCTGAAAGACGATGGTGATACCTACTATATTCAATCCAAGTTTACCAGACAGAAAAACCTAAACGGCGCAAGGGCGTTTATAGGTATTGCACGCACATTGGACATTCTCGCAAAGAAAACAAAAGCCGATTGGGTTATAAAGCTAGACCCTGACTGTGTTCTTATGAGCTTGGATTTTCTCGATAACGAATACGATTATATCGGCTCTTCCTCAAAGGACGAAGAAAAATTTTACGCTTGGGGTAAGTGTGTTGCCTACAAACCACAAGCGATACATTAGGCTAGGCTGTTCGCAAAGGTTGAGGAGAACATCGACACCGTTCTAAACACATGCAAAAAACAAGGTCTGAACACAGGAGAAGATGTATTGTTCGGATTAGTTCTCGTGGCGAACCTCGGACTCAAGGCACTAATTCAAAACATTGGCGACAATAATAACGCCTGTGTGTTTATCAACGATACAGAAACACTAAACCCGAACGCTTCATGTGCCATGTGTAAAGGAAGATACCTAGCACGGTCTTAAAAAGCATTCATCCATATACGTTGGAGACAAACAATTGATAACAGCCGAATCTGTTGTTGAAAAGAATGGAAACAGCACAAAATACATTTCTCTTACGATTGAAAGACTAAAATAAAGGATATGACAATACTTCTTGCAACATTCACATACGGAGGAGACGAAGAAATAGCGAAATACAACACTGTCGCGGTTGGAACACTAAGGGAAGCCTATCCAGAACACAAGATAGTACACTATCTGATTGACGATGCAAACAACCCGTTCAAAGAACCATTCAAGGACGAGGGAGACACCCATTACATACAGTCCAACTTCGACAGAAACGGAAATCTCAACGGTGTATCTTCACTTATAGGCATAACCCAAGAATTAGACAATCTTGCACAAACGACTGGCGCAGACTGGATAATCAAACTGGACTCGGATTCCATTGTCATGAGCCTAGACTTTCTCAATTCCGAATACGATTACATTGGGTCGAACGATTACAATGAGCCAAAATTCTACGCTCGTGGATGGTGTGCAACGTATAAACCACAAGTCATCCACGAGGTAAGGAGACTTCTGGAAAACGAGGAAAACATAAACAAAGTTATTCTCACAAAAAACGACAAAAGGATATTCAAACGCTATGGGAGAAGATGTTCTTTTTGGTGCGGCAATCGTGGAAGTGTTGGGCAAAAAGGCACTCATCGGAAACCTGAACGAAAATATGCAGCTTTCATGCTTCTACGATGAAAGTCAAACTCTCAATCAAAACGCATCTTGCGTACTATGCAAACTTTACGACAAAGAACCAGAACCTGTTATCGAAAGAATGAAGAAAGCAACAGAAGTTATAAAAAACCGTGTTTAGAAGTCAAAGAAAACCAACTCCATTCTCAAAACAACTATACTTGTTGCGACATTTACGCAAGGCGAAGATGAGGAAACGGCAAAGTTTGGAGCAAAAGCCATTCAAACACTAAGGGAAATCTACCCAGAACACAAGATAGTACACTATCTGATTGACGACGCAAACAACCCGTTCAAAAAGCCATTCAAGGACGAGGGAGACACACACTATATTCAAACCAGCTTCCCAAGACACGGTATGTATTTCAACAAGGAAACGTTTGCTGGAAAAATAGCAACGATTAAAACACTTGCCGATGAAACAAAGGCTGATTGGATTATCAACGCAGAAGCCGATGTTATACTAATGCGACTTGACTTCCTCAACCCGCGCTTCGACTATATCGGTTCAAAGGGTGAAGAAGAAAACGGCATTGAATATGTATGGGGAAAATGTTGCGCCTTCAAACCGTGGATTGTTCATAAGATATGGGAAAAAATCTCAGAAACGGAAAACTTCGATAAACTTGTAAGCTTTTTCGATTTCCGCGAAAACAAATCATCGGAAGACTACGTTTTCGGTTGTCTTACAAACAACACGATAGGTGGAAAAATGCTTTCTGGTAGTGTAAACAACAACGATAACCTTTGTTCGACTATATCCGACGGCACATCTTAAATCCAACGGCTTTTGCCGCTTTCTGCAAGGGTCGATATATGGAAGGGTCAGAAAATAACCATATAGCTTTCGTAGGCGATAAAAACATGCTTTCTTCCGAATCCGTGTTGAACAGGATGAAAAAGATATATCCAATACTGCAAAGGAAGGCAGAGAGAAAAACTATCGCCATCACAACTTTCACATACGATTAGGACGAGGAAATCGCACTACTCACTGCAAAATCCGTGGACGAACTCAGAAAACTCTACCCTCACTACAAAATCTTCCATTACATCATCGTTGATGAAAACCACCCGTTCAAGGAGAAATACGAGGACACGGAGGAAACATTCTTCTTTTCTTCCAACTTCAAGAGAAACGGAAACCTTTGCGGAATATCAGCTTTCGAGGGTGTTGTTCACCACATGTACAGGGTGGAAAAAATGTCAAATGCCGACTGGGTTATAAAGATGGACTCCGATACGGTCATATTGAGCCTTGACACATTGAACAGCGGATATGATTTCATGGGAACAACCATGTGCGAGGAGCAGAAATGGTGTGGAGGTGCATGTCTCATCTTCACAGGAGACGCAATCAAGGCAATTGGCAAACTTGTCGAGAATCGAGGTGTAAAGTATGAACAGTTCCTAAACCTTGCCCGTGCCGAGGGTTATCCTTCGTTGACGACTCGTTGATGTCCGCAGCCGCCATCGAGTATCTTGGCTTCCGATGCAAACGGGGGCTGATGTACGACTTCGAGAACACGACAATTTTCTGGAAAGACGATTGGAATTTTGAAAACGACGTAAGGGCGGTCGTATGCAAGCCGCAAAAGTTGGATGAATACAGCAAGGAACTGGAGGTTCCGTCTATTGCTGGACGAATAGAAAAAGTGTCCAAGATATTAAGGAAACGGTTGGAAAAATGACGGAAATCAAATTCCGTTGAAGCCAATCTCGTCATTCGGGTCGAAGTCGTACCCAGTCGGTGCCTCCACGAGTGAATACCCCTGAATGAAGATGTTGTCCAAATCGTAAATCATTGGGTACTTCCTCTCGATTTCCTCTTTCACAAGACGCTCAACCTCGTCGATTTCCTCGTCGGTGTCAAGCACATCGGGGTTGATGTCAATCTGGACATTCTCAGGCAAGCCAGAAACACCGCCCCAGTCGATGTCGCGCACTACAAAGCGCACGGTTTCCTCCTCCTCCTGCACGGTCGGTTCCCATTCCTCGGCTCTATAATCGAACTGCTCGCTGGGAAGGTATTTGTCCGTAGGCATGAAACGAACACCGTCAACCGTATCCTCCATAATCAAATTCTGCAAGTAGTCGAAAGAACCCTCGTCCTCGGTATCCTCACGAAGAATGTCGCGCAGCATTACCCTGCGCTCGTGTATGCTACTATACTCTTTGTCAATATCGCAAGCATTCACCGTGAAACCCTTTGGCAAGTTCACGAACTCGTTTCCATCATCGTCATAACGAATCTGCTTCCTGCATGAATCGTCAATCAACACGTCGCATCCCAACTTGATTTGCTTATCGTAGCGGGACAAAACCTTTACACGGATAACAGAGCCATAGTTGGAAAAACCCTTTGCCGTGTACGTCGAACCTACCTTAAACTAGCATGCCATAATTTTATTTAAGATTTATTTATGCGTTTTCCTCACACTAATGTTTCATTCTCCAATGTGGGTGGCAAGCTGTTGTCGCAAGTGGGCGGCAGAGTGTTTTCAGAAGTAGGTGGAAGCGAATTGCCCAACGCAACCGAACCAGCCATCAACACAGTTATAATAATCGTTTTCATAGTTCTTTATAGTAGCATGGCAAACAATGCCACTATTTATTTAACCACCCGTTTTCGCTATCTGAAAATCGTAGAATCAGCCAACTATGATGAAACCATCACAACTGCCAAGGGAGAGGTAGTCAATCCTGTCCTCGACCTCATCCACCGTCTCGTTGCTGTCGTTGATAAAGTTGTACTCGTCAATGTCGGAGTAGTAGTGCATACGCATAAGCGCGGCATACGTCTCATCCCGCGACATCATGTCAAAGATATTGGTACTATCTATGTCTCGCACAAGCACATCAATGTTTCCATCAAAACCCTGCTCGGTAAAATACTCTTCAATTTCTTCGTAATCGAACTCGAAACCGTTTACCTCTATCGTCTTTTTCTGCATTTCAACAATTATCTTAAACTAGTTCTCTAAAGTGCCTTATCGTGTTTCCGACCGTATAAGAAACCGTATAAGTACGACTCCTCACATCTCCTCGCGGGCATCGACATCGACAGCCCACGAGAGATACTGCTCAAAGCACTTGCCGAGACGCGCCTGAACACGCTCCAGAACACCCGTGAACGTTTTAGCCACCACATCATGCGGAAGCGTGCATCCATACACGAGACAGTAGAACTCCTCGTCAGTTATCTGCTCATCTACACGGAAAGCCTTGGTTCCATCCGTGAAAGAGACATTTTGAAATGTTGCCGTGTGTCGTTCCATACCGCTTTCCCTGTTTTAGTTCCACCGACTGTACTTCTTGGCGTTGATGCGATACACCGCGCTAGACTTCATAAAGACCCACGCCTCAAAGCCCTCGTCGCCATCATTCTTAATCTGAATGTCCTCAATGTTATTCACGCTCAGCCAATGTCCATCCAGAAGCAGCTTGCCAGAGGTGGTCTGTTTACGTGTGCTGGTGGTGATATGAGCAACACACTCGTCATGATGATACCTCTCCCACTCGCCTTTTGCCCAGTAGCGGACGGTGTAGCCCGCGCAGAAGTTGGAAGCTTCGTTCAGCATTTCCACCAGCATGTTAATCATCAGTTCCTTCATAACAAGGGAATTTTACCACAGAAACCCACCCTTGTCAAGAAAAAATCAAAATTTTTCAGAAAAACTTTCAGGAACATCAATACCCAAGAACCTACCGAGTCGCTTATTGAACTGGTTTTCAAGGTTTTTCGTATAAATCCTGTAATCAGAACAAATGAAGAAAGCGTTTTTATTCAACTTGTAAACCTTGATGTCGTCATAACCGTCTATACTGCAAAGGTCTGGATACGCATACTGGACGGGGAGTATTTTGAAAAGTTCTGGATTGTCAAGCCTGTATGCGTTAAGGAAGCTCTCGTCATGCCACACTGGGATGATGTTGTTCGCATAGTCCTCGTCAGTCCATCTGGAAAGCGTCTCGCTCATCTCCACGAACTCCTTGCTGAACCGCCATAGAAACAACCGAAAATGTATGTGTACGGCATGTCATCTGGGTTGATGAAAGCGTGCGAAAAGACGTTTTTCTCCGTGTTGTCAAGCATCTCCCTCATTTTCAGTTGAGGTTTGTCGAACTGTATGTGCTGTACACCGACCAGCGGATGAACCTCGTCTGGAAGTATCTCCTCTCCAACCTCCTTGTAAAAGTTCAGGTCGGCGTTGCAGAAATAGACATACTTGTGTTCCAGTAGAATATCCCTTATCCTGAGAAAGTTCCTGTATCGGAACAGGGTTGCTGCGGGCCATGCCTCGTATGGTGTGGGAAGCACACTCACCTCACTCTCGTCATAGTCATAGTAGTCGTGCAAGTCGCAATCAGTCCAAACGTAATAGTGCTTCGTCAAACTAGGAAGAAGGTTCTCACGGGCAGACTCGTAGAACTGCGGAAAGAGCTTCGGGTAGTTTCCAGTACAGATGTATAGTATAGCAACGTCCTCCATATCATTTTCTCCTTTCAACAATTTTCAAAAGTTCTTGCGCCGCTTGCAGCATGAGCTTGTCTGGCACACCGTTCACACGGAGCGAGACGAAGTAGAAAGTGTTGTAGTAGATGTCCGCAGCCTTTGCGTACATGTCGCGCGAAATGCGATAGTCCCAAATGGAACCGCCGCCGTCTGGGTTGAACATATCACATATAGGTATCATTGCCGAAAGCCTTGGCAACGATGCCGCACTCAATATCAAGCCGAGCGTGAAATCCTCGTCATCCTTGCCTATCGGCTTACGGTAGAACTCCGTCAACCTCAACGCTTCGTCAAGGAAGTCCGTGAGAAATGCGAAAACCTCTCCAGAGAAATGCTTTCCACCCGTCATTGCCGCCGTGAACGCCGAGTTGGGTGCATTGAAAACCTCGTCAAAAACCGCCTTGTGGAAAAGAAGCGTTTGCGGCTCAATCAACAAGTTCAACACCTCGCGTCCTGCGGCATGCTCACGCAACTTGGCAATCAACGCGGCACAACCGTCATCGTTTGGAAAACCGACAACCTCATACGAAATCTTCGGAGAGAGCTTTTTCGTCCAACGCACAGACCTCCCATCCATCGGGTCATTCTTGTCATCCATGACGTAAATCTCCAACGGATTGTCCTCGAACACTTTAAGGATTGACCGAAGGCAAAAGGGAAGGACATCTTGCGTCTTTCGCCCAGTACACACGTTCACAACAACCGCGTAGTCTGTTTTCAAACCATCACGGTACACCAGTTCCATCTTCATCCCTTGAAGAACGGGTAGCCTGTCCTTGGACAATAACGGTACATCCAGTTTCAGCATCATCTCTTTCCTTTCTCTATTTCTTCCATCAACATTCTGGCGGGAAGCAAGCGGTCGTCAAGCGTCAAACCCTCATGCAAGAACCAGTTTCCCATCGTAATAAACTGAAACTGCTTGTAGTACAACGGAATGAGTGCGTCATACCTCTCCTTGGGAATACCATAGTTCCATGCACATGCCACACCGACCTTGCTGGCGTCGTTCCATACGGAAATCATCAATGCCTTTTGCGGCAGGGCGGCAGAGCAGACTGCAAGCCCTATGATATAGTCCTCGGGTCCCTTCTCTACGGGAATGGGAAACTCCCTGATAAGCTCCAATGCCCGTTGGAGCGGTTCGGTTCGGAACATGTAGAGAATACCAGAAAAGTGGCAACCAGGTCTCGTTGTCGCCGCTTGGGAAGCCTCACGGTTGGCGTAGAACGCATCAAAGACTGTACTGTGGCAGACAATTGTGTCAGGGTCAATCTTGATGTTCAACGCTTCCCTGCCAGCGGCATGCTCAATGAACTTCTCGACCATTCCCTCGATGCACACCTTTCCGTTAAGGTTCTTGTTCCGCTCGAACGAGGTCTGCTCATAGTGAATAGCTGGAGACAGCGACAGCATGTCCTGTACGAACCCGTCATCCATCGGGTTCTTGTCGTCGTCCATGACATAGATTTCCAACGGGCGACCATCAAAAACCGTCAAGAGGGAGCGTATGCAAAAGAGAAGTATTTCCTAATCGCCCTTATACGTCATGATATTGGCGATTAGGAGATACCCGTTGTCTTTCGTCTCACTTTGCATTCTGTTCCTTTACGAACTCCATCATCTTGCGGGCGGGAAGCAACCTGTCCTCCTTCTTGGATTTCTCGTTAAGCCTCCAATTTCCGTATGTGATAACCTCAAACCTATCGTAGTACCACTTCAAGTAGGAATCGATGTCGGCATTACCAAAGTTCCAACCGCAAACACTACCAGTCTCGGTTTCATTACTCCAAACCTTTATAGTACTCTGCGTTGATACCACTGCTTCCAGAGGTCAACACCAAGCGCATAAACGCATCACGCTCCTCGCTTTCCTCTGGGATGTCCATAATCTTCGCAATACTCAACGCCTTATCCAAAGGTTGCGTCCTAAAGATGTAGCACACGTTGAAAAGCGAACCGCCAAACTTGTCGATAGCGGCAAGCGAAGTGTTTTTCGAGTTGTAGAACTCGTCGAAAATGTCCTTGTGGCAAACGATGCTGTTCGGCTCGATGTTGATATTCAATACATCCTCGCGCCCCCTTGGCGTTCTCCACGAACTTCTCCAGCATACCCACAATGCTCTCCTTTCCAGACATCTTCTTCGTCCTCTTGAACGATGTGGTGCTGTAGACGACAGACGGAGAAAGAGCCTTGAACCTCTCGACCGCTTCCGCAGACATCGGGTTGGCTGCATCGTCCATGACGTAAATCTCCAACGGGTTCTTGGGGAAGATGCTCAAGATGTTCTGGATTGAAATCTCCAACATGTCCTCGTCATCCTTGCTACAGAACATGTTTACCGCAACTGGGTAGTCCAACTTGAGACCATTTTCAAAGGCATCGTCCAAATCACTTCCATCCATCAGAACGACATGGTTCTTCTTACGCCACTCCAGCTCGACTGCGGGCTTTTGCTTCTCCATGTACTCCAGCATGCGGCGGGCGGCAATGGGTCTATCGTCAAGCGTGATGCCTTGTTTTTTCCATACCCACCAGTTTCCGTATGTAATTATCTGGAACTTGTCGTAGAACCACTTTGTCATCTTTTCAAGGTTTTCGGGCTTGATACCGTAATCCCATCCAGAGAAGTATCCCTCGTTCGCCTTGTCGTTCCACTTGGGGATGCACATCGAGTAGTTGGGGGAAGCACCAGCGCAGATAGCCAAGCCGATAAGGTAGTCCTCTGGACCCCTATCTTCGGGAATAGCCATTATCTCCGCAATCTCCAGAGCCTTTTTCAAGGGCTTGTTCCTAAAGGCGTACATCGCGCCAGAGAAATAGCTTCCAACCCTGTCTGGAGCGGCATAGTACACGTTCGGTGCATTGTAGACCTCATCAAACACCGCACGCTTGGTAACGATTGTATCTGGGTCAACCTTGAAGTTCAAAGCGTCATCACGGTCGCCAGCATGCTCGATGTATTTCTTCAACTGGTTGGTGATACACTCCCTGCCGTTCAAGTTGTAATTCCTCCTAAATGTCGTTATCTCGTAATGCAGCGTGGGATACTTCCCTTTAAGCTACTCCACAAACTTCTCGTCCATCGGGTTCGTGCCGTCATCCATCAGGTAGAACTCCACGGTATTCTTGTCGAAAACGGTCAAGAACGAATCCATGCAGCAACCGACAATGTTCTGGTCGCCCTTGAAGCAAAAGATGTTTACAATGACTGGATAATCCAGCTTGAAACCGCGCTCGAACGCTTCATCCACATGGAACCATTCAATCAGCGGCTTAAAATTCTTCTTCCTTCTCTACTTCTTTTCCATGAAAGCAATTCTATCATAGTTCTCTCACAGGAAGGCATACTAAATAACCTTTGTTATGGTATTTTTGAAACTTGAAAACGAGAACGGCGAATATGTTGACAAGGACGGTGCAAGGTTTTCACTCCTTTACGGTGATGAGATTTATCGTCCCAACAAGGAGAAGAACGAGGGTTGCGACACCTTTGAGACAATCGAAGAGGCGGTGGAATCCTACGGACTGTCCAAGTACGACGAGGAAGTCGAGGAGGAAAAGTAAAATCCTAACAACCATCTAAATCCACCAGCGGGCTTTTGTTATAAAGGTCCGCTGGTTTTTAGTCGTCCTCGCCGTAGTTCAGCCAGACAACCTCGTTCCTCTTGGAGTCGGAAAAGGGCGACTTGGTTTCAAACCTCCTGCAACGACCGTTCAACACTTCGTAAATCGGATGGTCGTACCCAGAAAGCATCCACTTGGCTTTCATGTCAAGAATTCTCTCGACAAACCTACGATGCTCATCGTCGGTCATTTCCACCTCGTACTTGGTTGACGAGCTTCGCGTGTCATGTATGTACGGCGGGTCGAGGTAAAAAAAAGGTGTCCTCCCTGTCGTACCTGTCCAAGATTTTGAATATGTCCTTGTTCTCGATGACAACTGAGGAAAGCCTGTTGTGCAAATCCTCCAAACCCTCGACTGCGGCAAGGTAGCACGAAACCTCCTTGCATATCCTCCTACCCTTGGCGAGTGCCACGGAAAAGCCCCCAACACCGTTGTAGGAAGTCCTATTGACATACATGTACTTGAACGCCCTGTCCACCATAGACAGGCCGCCCCTCCTCAAATCCTCCTTGAACTCTGCCCGAAACTGCTCGGAAAACGGAGTGATTTCCAGCTTGAACTGCAATTGCTTCATCATCTCTGGGTCGGCAATAACCTTATAGAGCGAATAGATGTTCTCACCAAGGTCGTTGTAGACCTCTATTGTCTTTTCACGCTCCTCCGCAAGCAACAGGCTACCGCTGCCGCCGAAGGCATCCACGAAAACGTCGTACTTCTTCGGAAACAGCGGAAGAAGGAACTTCACCCATTCCCACCCTTGCCGCCATAGTATTGCACAGGCTTGATAAGAGACTTTCCCATTTCATGAATTCTACCACAGTTCTTTTTTATAGAAGAAGCAACGTATCCTTGCCCGCTAAATAATATCTTAGATATGAGAGCCTACCAACTCACAGACGAAAAAGGAAATAAATTCATTACCGCGCAAGACAGTGAAATCACATTCACTGGAAACATTACGCTCTCAAACGACACAGTTACCTCAAACGGAAAGAATGTCAAGGATGCCATCGACAAGGTTGCTGCGGCAACCATACTGCTGGACTCGCACGTTGTCCTTGCAACAAAGATTGCAGACGCGGACGTTTGCCAGACCGCTGGGACGGCGGCGTTCGCCATGAACCCAGTAAAATATCCATATACGGCATGTGCATCGGCAACAGAACTGCTTTCAAAGGGATATACATTTGAAACCACAGTTGACGACTGCTTCTTGGCACTTTCGGAATTTGACAACTGCAATCTCGACATCTCGCATGTGGAAACTTGGGAGTCCGCCCATGCCATCATTGCAAATCTGGAGTTTCAGCACTTCATACTTCAACAATCTCAGCTCTTGGACGGGAGAACTTCAAAACTGAAAGACGGAAACAGTATGTTCATCAACGCCGCCAACCTAACAGAATGGGATACAAAACTTCCAAGGCTCACAGATGGAACATCAATGTTCAAGGATAGCGGATTGTTGACATTCGACACAGAGCTTCCCAATCTGACAAACGGAACGGAAATGTTTTCTGGAACGGGATTGACCGAGTGGAACACATCACTTCCAAACCTCACGGACGGCTCGTCAATGTTTAGCGGAATGTCATACCCGCTGGCATTCAACGGGGAACTCCCAAAACTCGAAAAAGGAACACACATGTTTCTACGGAACAAGTCTGGAGGGATGGAACACGGAACTTCCCTCTCTGACATCAACGGTCGGAACAGATGGAAACGCCAACAACTTCGAGATGTTCAAGAACAGCGGATTGACAACATGGAGCATCGACCTACCGAAAATCACAACTTTCAACGACATGTTCTCTGGTTGTCAATTCACATCGTTCAAGTCAACGCTGCCGTCCTTGACAGATGGAGACAACGCCTTCAAAGACCAAACCGCACTAACAGACATCAACGTATTCATTCCAAATGTCGTATCGGCATAGTCGATGTTCGAGAACACCTCGATAACATCTTGGGACTAGAGTGTTTCAACACTCAAAAACACAAAGGCAATGTTCAAGGACTGTACACAATTGACCAGCTTCAACGGAAGCCTTTGCTCAACCAACTACGTCATGGCTTCCAAGGAAATGTTCTCAGGATGCTCGGCTCTAACGACATTCTACAACGGCACCACAATGTCGTTCACATACGCATCCGACACGAACAAGAACGAAGCGGTCGTGTCTATGTTCGAGGGATGCTCGTCTCTCACCACACTCACCCTGACGATAGGCACCACAATCTACGATACGACATACATGTTCAAGGGTTGCTCGTCCCTTGCAACGTTCCCCTCTTCAATATATCTCACAAACGTTAGAAACGGAAAGGGCATGTTCTACGGTTGCACATCCCTGACAAGCGTTTCAAACACAAACAACAAACTTTCAAACATTCTCGTTGCAGACGGTATGTTCTATCATTGCAACCTCAACATAACAACCGTTAAGTTCATAGCGGATAATATAAAAAGCAGTCCCGCCTCCGCGTCAAGACCGTCCTACATCAGCACAGAGGATTGGACGAATGTCGGGAAAATCACTTTGGGCGTTTCGGCGGCGTGTGCAGCCGATTCCACGTTCACAACACAAATGGATGCAATAGCGAACAAAGGGTGGACCATCACCTATGCTGTTCAAAACACGGACGGAACATTCAGCGAGGATATTGTATACGTTCCGACACCGACTGCATAAAAATACTTTTTTCGGCGTGCTAAATAAAACTTGAAGAAAGAGAAGAAGCGTGGTAGCTTATCCTTTTTATCGTGCGCGGACATGGGACTTGTTCCCATGTCCGTTGTGTTTTCTCCTTAAATAAATTTTGACGATTATGGCTGACGCTTCCGATAAACAACTCGTAACAGTGGGTTATCTCAACAAAAGGCTCGAACCTGTGGAGAAAACCATTCCAGAGTATGCACTACACCCAGAAAACCTTGAAAAGCTGAGCATCCTCAACAGCATGGATGTAAACACCGTTGCTTTCACAAACAAATACGACAGCATCGACTCCGAAAACAAGCCGATACGGTCTGAAATCGACGGAAGGCTGGAGACGCTTGAACATGCAACGCTTGGAGACGACAGCGACATAAGGAGGTACATAAACGAGGAGCTGGGTTTCAAAATGATTGACGGTTAGCCGACACTAACAAGGGAGTTCCACTTGGGACTGAACACGGAAGCCGTATATGACTTGGGAAACACGACACTCCACAGCAAGTACACATTCACTCTTAAAAACAAGACACTCGTGGTGGAAACCGAGAACGTGAACTTTGTCGGTGATTTCCCCTACTCGACACTGTTGGAAGAACAACAGGCAGTCATCGGCGTAGTCAATGGTCTAAACAATACAAACCAAAGAATCGACAACCTTCAAGAGACGATTACTTCCGAGGTTTCAAAAGACATTGAAGCACTTTACGGTAAAAGGATTAACTCACTAGAGCAAACTTCACAGGAAACAAGCAAAACTGTTAATCTAAACTCCAATAGAATTAAAAACCTAGAATAGAGCCTAAACGATTTCAAGTATGCAACTGGAAACGACATTCAGTCTCTAAAGAACGACAGCACGAAACATGAGGAAGATATAACTTCTCTAAACACTAGTGTAGACAACCTCAATGGAAACATAACCAGCTTGGAGGAACGGCTCACTGGTAAAGACGGAACGATTACAACGCTCTCAAACGAGGTTCAAACCTTAAACAACGAAGTTATAACTCTCAAAGAGGATGTTGAAAGCAACACAAGCACTATTGATGCCTTAGACGAAAGAACCACCGAACTTGAAAAGTATAAGACTGAAAGCAGCTCGTCTTTCTCAGAGCTTAAAACACAAGTTGAGCAAAACGGGAAAAGCATAGACGACATTAAGGTCGAGTTGTCGCCAGACAACAAAAACCCAATAGTTCGCAACAAACAGTTCAAAGATACAATCGACACATTGGGTGGAAAAATCGATGACTTGGTAAGAACAAACAAGGTTGAGAAGGATTCGACCAAACTCGTGGAAAGCGGCGGTGTGTGGAACGCGATTGAGGGTTTTAAGTGGACGGAAAACATATCGGAGTACGAGGATGTTCTCATCTATCTTCTCGACAAGAGGAGAAAGTATGAGTTCTCCACATTGCACAAGGTCTACCAATGGATGAACAGGTTGATGGCTGTCGTGCTGCAAGTCTATTTCTCACAGAAAAACGGACCGTATGTTCCAGACTTCGGAGATGACGCGCAGCTCACCAAGGAGGACTGGAAAGGACTTAGGGAAATCGTGGATGTGGGCGAACAACTGCTTATCCTGTTGGAAAGGCTGCAAATCACGACAAAGGACGGAACGGTTATAGAGGACAACCCGCTTTACGAAGGCATCGAATTCAAACAGGACGAAATCGTGGCTTTCAAAAAGATGCTTGTCTACAAGGACGAGATTATCATGCTCGTGGGTCGAACCATAAATAAAACTAAGCAAAGATGAACGACATTCCAAAAGACTTGCAAGACTTGATTATCAACGTTACGGGAAACGTAAACTTTCAGGATGACGACACCACCCTGTAGGAAAAGAAAATTGCGACACAGGAAGTCGTAGACCAGAAAATTGCTGCGGCTATCAACGAGCATTGTCTGGATAACGAGCATCCACACCCTACAGACTCGTATATTGCCGAACATGTTATACCAAACAAAGCCAACGGTTTGACAGACTCGGCAATGACAACTGTCAAGAGCGAAGCGTATGATTTCATTGTTGCGTCCGACAGATACAAGACACTTGAAAGGGCTGTAGGTGCAAACACCACACGTTCATCTCAAAACGCCACAGATATTACTACCGTTAAAAGTGATATTACAAGCCTGTAGACTTCAAAGGCGGATTCATCCGAGCTGTCCAGCCTGTCTGAAAAGGTCAAGGAAATCGACGATAAGGTCAATAGCGACGACTTCGCTTCAAAGCAATATGTCTAGGAAAAATGCAGAGACGTTTACTCAAACGCTTGCAGTTATGCCGATGGACTCAAGACTGGTATTGATAGTTTGATTGAAGCTTTCCATACCGACCTCAACAACTACAAGGAAAAAAATGACGAAGCTGTTGCCGAAAACACCAAAAAAATAGAAACCGTTAATTTAAGGGTTAATCAAAAACTCACCACAACCGATTTTGGAGAACACTTCAAAACCGAGATGGAAGGCGTGGTTGCAAACGCTCCCGTGGTTGGAACAGGTCTTTACGAGGACTTGAAGGAAAAACCCGACATCGAGGGAATGATTACAACGGCAATAAGTGTTTTCGTGCCGCGTTCAGAAATCGAGGAACATTACGCACTAAAAACAGAACTCAACACGAAGTTTGACACTGCTGTAGACATTTTCACCACCACTTCAAAGAAATACACCGACAACTTCGGCTCTTGGAGACTTCTCGAAACAGTTTCAAGCGTAGACGAGCTTCCAGACCCGAACACCAAGGGGCTTCTGGTTGGAACAATCTACTCTGTCGAACCAGAGGAGGGCGACCCGACATTCTACATCTTCCACAAGTACGAGCTGGAGGAAAGCGGACACTGGTTCGACCTGTTCGACTTCATCTGGCAGCGTCTCTCCAAATACCACTACACCAAGGCAGAGGAGGACGAGGTTCATGACTCAATCAAGCAGCTCGTCATCGAACTCAGGAGTTTCCTGCTTGAGAACTATTACAACAAGGAGGAGCTTGATGCCAAGTTCCTCACGGTCGATGTCGCTTTGAACAACCTCGATACGAGAATCAAACTCAACGACAACAGGATTGCCGAAAACAAGACGAATATCGGAAAAAACACCGAAAGTATTAAATTCCTCGGCATCAAGATACTCCACCTCTGGAAATGGGTCAAAAAGACCTATCTCACCAAGGATGAAGCCGATAGAAGGTATGTCTCCAGAAAGATGTTGGACGACTATTACATCAAGGATGAGATTGATGCAAAACTCAACGAGTTGGAGGAAAAGCTCAGAGCTGAAATAGAAAAGGTCGATTTCAAGTTGACTGAACACATAGAGGATGCAAACAAGGTGTTCGAGCAACTTCACGCCAAGGACGAGGAACTGAAAGGCGAGATTGACGACCTTTGGAACGACAAGGCTTCCAAGGACGGTGTTGCCGAAGCGTTCGAGAGGGTTGTGGGTGAAAGGCTCGTGAAGCACACGGAGGACACGGGTAAATGTATTCCAGAAATCATCAGCACCGTCTCCTAGGTAACTGGCTACTACGCTGGTTCGGAGGACTACGGCTACAGCGAGGAAAAACACATGCCAGCACCCGTGGGTGATGGCGAAATCTACCCAGTCGAGTCATACAAGAGCCTGTTCGACAAGTTCAACCTCGACCTAGACGGAAACTACGACCACACCGACTTGCTCCTGAAAATACTCCAGCACACTGGTTCAAGCATCAAGAACGATTAGGAGTTCATAAACGAATTGGAGAAGTGCATCCACAGGGAATACGATGGTGATGGCTCTATCAAGGATGTGCTTTACAAGGTGATGCACCTTACTGGGGCGGTCTACAAAGCTGGAAATGCAATCAAGATTTCCACAAGGGACGGCAAGGAAAACGTTGTAGACGCTCTCGTAGACGACAAGACCGTCAAAATAAACGAGGACAACAACATCTACGCAAACATCGACGGAAATACAATCCAGTATGACGAAACAACACAGAAAGTCAAGGCTGTTGTAAACGCTGGAATTGCTACCGCCATCTCTACAAAGAATAAAAAGAGCAATGTGGTGGATGTTCTCGTGGACGATAAGACCGTCAAAGTCAACAAGGACAACAAGATTACCGTCAACATCGATGGAAACACAATCCAGTATGACGAGGACAAGGGAAGCATCAAGGCTGTACTGCCGCCAGCTTCCAAGTTCACGGACGAGGAGACATACATTCTCAAACACTTGGCACAAATGACAACGATGAGGGAAAATGTTCTGGACGAAAACGGAACGGAAACGGTTGGTCCTTTCATCATCAAGGGTTATTCCGAAGGAAACTGGTTCGCCACCGTTTCAAACAATACCGTTGCGGTTTCCGACAGCGACTTCGACATATTCGACACATGCTACCTTACAATCAACCGTTCCGAGGAGAAGGAAGCGATTGCAAGCCTGACGGTCAAGTACGGCGAGCTTACGACAACCGTGGCAAACGTAGCAGCGCACTCCTTCGTCAAGTTGAAGATAACAAAATCGGCGACTGGAATAGCCGCCGAGAAAAAGGAGTTCGTCTGTCCGATTTCTTAATCCCTTTTATTGAGAATAACCTCGACAGGTTCGTTTTCAGAGTCGTCATGGGTAGCCTTGACGACTTTCTTTTTGTCCTTGCATTTCTTCTTGGAAGCGCATTTCTTCCCCTTGCAGCTCTCTTTCCAAATGATGCCGATTAAACCACCCAACGAACTGAGTATCGTGGCGATATATGTACAAGTAGTCTCGTCAAGCTGTGTGAAGTAATAGGCGGCAAGGATTCCGAGAACACCAAGCCAAGTGGTTTTCTCACCAATCCTGTTGAAGAACCACACCTTGAACTTCTCCCAAATCTATTTCCATTTCTTGCTTGTCATACAAGTATTTAAGGTTTTTCCACCATTTCTGCTAAAAAGGGTGAAAGCAAAAGGCTTCTAGCACTTAGCCGAGAACTAGAAACAAGTGCGCCAACAGGAGCAACATACCAAACATCAAAGCCATTCCCAAAGCAACGGAAACAATACAAATATCCCAAGGGAAAGGGAAACCGCCTTCGCGGGAAGGAGAAGGAAGCGTGAACAACTTGTCGTGTGCAAAACAGTTCAGAATTCCCGCTTCAATGGAACCCGTAAAACTGAAAGAGTCGCTTCTCGTTTCTCGTTCAATGTCATATTGGAAACAACTGTAATAATCGCAACTATACCGTATCTTGTCGGCAATGTCCACACCCTCTGCAAATTGCAACCGTACAGGTTGTTTCTGCGTAAAGTCATCGATAAATGTAAACCAGTTCATAAGAAACATCATACCACAAAAAGACGCGCCGTCAAGTGTTTTTTTTGACGACGCGCCGCATTTTTCAAAAACTTTGTTTCCTCTTAGTTTTTACCGTTCTGGCTCGTGTACAACTCCTGTGCTTCGGTGATACCAGTAATAACTGCATCAATGACAGTCCTGTACTCTGAAACATCCCACTTGCCGCCGTTCTCGCTGTTCTTCATCAAACCAAACACCACATCCATACTAAGGAGTGCATACGTTCTGTATCTGCTTCCCAGCTCATCCAACTGCGTCTTTAGAATGTTCCTAAGGTCCTCGGTGGTAAGCACGCTCTCATAGGAGACGTTGGTGAGGATTTCGGCAATATCACTGAAAGAGTTGCAAGACTCTGGGTTAGCCTTGATTGACTTGTAAACGAGTGCTTCGACTGCGCCAGCGGTCAACAGGGGAATACCCACATTGGAAACGAGCGTATGGGAGGTGGTCTTTACCTTTTCCCAGTTGACATTGGAACATGAGGGTGTTGAAAGGGTGATTGCTCCCATCAACAAAAACGGAAGAATAAATTTGCTTTTCATATCATTCCGTATTTAGCGTTTAATGCGCTGTTTTTTAAAAAGAAAAACGGTGGTGTCCCGTTGTTTGAGGAAGGGTGGGACACCACCGTTGTCTTTTCTTACATCTGGGGAAAATACGGTGCTTGAACGACCGTTTTCTCCTCGTCAGGAATATCTGAAATGACAGCATCGGAGGTGAGCATCATGCCAGCGACCGAAGTTGCATTCAAGAGCGCGGACTTTGCGACCTTCCAAGGGTCGATTACACCACTCTCCAAAAGATTTTCCATTTTCATCGTCTTTAGGTTCAACCCAGTGTACTTCGCACCTTTCTGAATCTTGACGATATACGTTCCCGCCTCATCGGACAGTCCAGCATTGCTCATCAACTGCTTAAACGGGGCGAGCAGAGCCTTTTTCATAATCTTTTCACCCACGCTGTTTCCGAGTTTCTGGGAAGCCTTGATGTAGCAGTACGAGCCACCTGGGACAACACCCTCGTCAATGGCTGCGCGGGTCGCACGGATGGCATCGTCAATCCTGTCCTTCTTCTCGTTGGCTTCCACCTCGGAGCTGCCGCCCACGTTGATAATAGCCACGCAGGACTGCAACTGCTTGATACGGATTTCCGCGTTGCCACGGGCTACATCGGAAGCGTTGTCGTCCTCCTTCAAGGCTTTCAACTCGGCAATCCTCTTTTCGATGAGCTTCTTGTCGCCTACACCCTCCCTGAACGTGGCTGTCTTAGCCGTAAGCACGACACGCTTGCACTTGCCGAGGTCAGCCAGAGAATACTCGGTCAAAGCCTTGTTTCCAAAGGTCACGTCAATATATGTCGTGTCGAACATGATGGCAAGGTCCTCCATCGTCTCGATACGCATGTCCTTGTACCAAGGTGCTTTCATGGCGGCGCACTTCACCCTGCCCTGCTGCTTGTTCGCAGCCAGCATGGAAAGCACATCTGGGTCGTAGTCGTCCGCAACGATGACGATGTTCGCCTGATTCTTCGCAACCTCGCTCAACAACGGAAGCAGCGCGTGGCTGTCGGTCAGCTTGCCCCTGAACAGGAGAACGTATGGGTTCTCCATATCAACGATGTTGTGGGCTGTATCGGTTACGAAATACGGGGAAAGATAGCCACGGGTGTCGAACTGCACACCAGAGATGATGTTGAGTGTCGTGTCGTATGACTTGGCATCACCGACCTGTATCGCACCATCCGAACCCACGGCGAGAACAGCGTCAGAGACCATCTTGGCTGTCTCCTCATCCCAGTTGGCAGACACGAGTGCAATGTTCCTGATGTCGTTCTCCTCGGCAACCTCCTTCTTGTAATTCGTCTCGATGTCGGAAATGACATTTTTCACTGTTTCATCAATATCGCGCTGCAAGTCGATTGCATTGTAGCCGCTCGTGATGTACTTCACACCCTCCTGCAAGATTGCGTTTGTCATCACCACGGATGTACTCGTGCCATCACCCACGTTCTGTAGCGTCTTGTTCGCCACCTGTTTCACCATCTGCACGCCGATGTTCTCCCAGTTGTCCTCCAAGTCGATTTGCCTTGCCACGGTAACACCGTCCTTGGTAACCAACGGAAAACCCCAGTTCTCGAAAATAACGTTCCGTCCTGCGGGACCGAGGGTGGAACCGACCGTGCGAGCCAGCGTAGCCACACCGCGAAGGATTCCAGCGCGTGCATCCTCTCCGAATTTAATATCCTTCTTCATTTCTCCAAAGCGTCCTTAATCATTTTTGTCAATTGCAGATAGTTCGCCGCGCCGATATGCTTGTGAACCACCTCTCCGTCTCTCAAAAGGAAAAAGGCGGGAACTGTTGAAACAGCGTGTTTCTTTGCAAACTCGTCCGCTTCTGGTTCACCCGTGCAAAGCACCTTGAAAGGCACTTCTGGGAACTCCGATGTCGCCTTTTCGACAACCCTTGCAATCATCTTGCACACACCGCAAGTGGGTGTGGTAACCTCAACCATTTTCAAATCAGCCATTTTTCCTCTCCTTTCCCCTTTGTTTCCTGTCCTTGACATATCCGACAACCATAAGCACGGCATAGATGGCGACCTCAACCATGAACGGAGCAAACACGAGCCACCAAGAAATATCGGTCATGTTGCATACCCTGAGTGCCATCAGGACGATTGTAGCCAGCTCAAAACAGGAAACGCTGCCAAAGGGCTGCGGCTGGCTTCTGCGCGGCATCTGTCGCCGCATGGCTTCCAGCTATTCCATGTTGACCTTGGCACCCATGCTCAAAGCGTTCTGGAAATCCTTGTTCTTGGATGTCGCTTCAAGCATGATGTCCTTCACCAACTTGTCTCTCTCGGAATTCGTCATCACAAGTCATCTTAACATAGTTCTATCTTTTTCTGTCGCATGTTTCCATCAACTCGCAACGGCATCCACGATAAATAGATTCACAAGTATGCCAAATGTCATGAAACTACACGGAGTAAGGTACTTCCTCAAAAAGATGGAAGATTTCTACTTTTGCCCTCCATCAGACAACCTTTGGACAGTCAGGATACAAGAACACGCATACGGAGATGACGAAAAGAGCAAGACACTCGCCGACCTTTATGCGAACATCATCAGTGTCAACGACTCGTGGAACAACGCATACATGACGAACTGGCAGATATTGATGGACGACGAAATGCGTAAAGACTTCCAAAAACTCTACATAGACGAGCTTGGAGGACAAGGTGATAAAGGAGACTATTTCTTCCTTGCGAACAACGTAACCATAAACCCGTTCCAAGCGACAATCGACCCGAACCAAACGAGGTCGGCATACACGCACGGAGGTTTCCTCAACCAAGGCTTTATAACCACTGGAATGACGGGCGGCAGGGAATGCAACATC